CAGAATAAAACCATTGTGGACTTTGCGGGAAACGTGTCAAAGTCTGTAAGTCCAAAAGGGCGAATACTGAAATTGGGCCTTTAGTATCTATCTAACAATGGCTCACCAGAGTAATCAGCAAAAGGGGGCGCGGCCCATGATGTCCACCAACTTGTATGAGCCATTGAGGAACAAAATGCCACAGGGCCTATTGTCCCTGTTATGAATCTGTAGTGGGGACTAAACATCTGTCAGAAACAGCAGGATCTGTTCTATGGAGAACTGGAAATCCACATGATTTGATACCCGACCTCCCTCATGTCCCGGGGCGTGGCAAAAATAATCCCACAAGCTGCATGAGGCAACTGTTCCGCAGCAGTAGCTGCTACTGAAGCTTGTGTAGGAAAGTTTAAAAGCCTTACTGAGGAGTTTAAATTGTGTGAAATGTGGCAATAAATACCTGTTCAGAGCTCATAAATATTCTTAGTCTTACTCTTGTGGAGATGAGTGTGGAAGTGTTATGGTCTTTGATAAGCTTAGCGAAGCTACAGCTCACACAGAGACCGAAGAGAAATGATACTACAAAACAAAACAAACAAACAAAAACGATGGAGATGTGCCACATGTTGGCTCTTATGGTATTGTTGAAGGACTCTACAACTAAACTGTGAGTGTGAAGTTTATAGTGATGATACCATCTGTCTGTTGCTGTGCAATCTGTCAAACTCATTATCTTCTGCAATTTTAAATGGTGACCTGAGGGTGCATCAGCCTCAGTAGGAGTCACGCAAAATACAGTGGGATCAAACTCATCTCTATTCATTCATAAACCACCACAACACACAGGAGTGCATGTGAATGCCTACACACTAAAAACTTGTTTGTGACAGCCAAGCAAAAAAATAAAGGCAACTTCTCAAAGGCAGTTATCGCTCCCACAGGATTCAATAGACTATAAATAGTTTCTCTTAACATCTTCAACCAACCATAATGCATCCTCACATACTGGATAATATGTCTGGTTCCCACATTAATCCAAACACAAGAGCCAACGTCGATATTATTGTCCCAGTGCTAGCTGCTCTCAGATTATGCAAGCTTTAGTATGTCTACTGAGCTACTAAAGGCTGTGAGGCTGCACAGTATCTGATGAAATACCACACTGTTCATTTACAATGCTTATAGAAGATTAACAGATTACCACTTTATCCATATGAACATGTCATATCTAGGTCACCCTATACTTCTTATCGTAATAAAACAATAAATAAAACTGGGATATAGAATATATTTAAATCAGCACTTACAATGATGGGCTGTGCCAAAGAGCTGATGTACAAAAAAAAAACATCCCTCAAATCAAATCAGAGCAGATCAAAGTATATTTCTGTCTAAATGTATGTCATATAATAATATACAATATATATTATGATGAAACCATGTACAAATACTACATTAAAAGTCTTGACAAAAGTACAGGAGTAGTATTTTCATAACATAAACCTTCAAAGCATCAAAAATACATAATATTCTGTATATATCATAATATATTACTGTATTATTAATATTATTATTACCAATGTATTAACATGTATGTAAGCAGCACTTAAATGTCAATGTTAATATTTAATGTTGTTGTTGTTGTTGTTGTGATGGGGCTAATTTTGACTACTTAACATTAGAGCTAAATTGACAATAATCCATTAGTTGATGTTAGAAAGTGGCAACTATTTTGATACCAGAAAGTAGTATATTTTTATGACTTTTTAAGCATAATTATATTTTATAAACAAATTCCTATGTCTTTGTAGTAGACAGTAGAAGATTTACCTCTGAAATGTCAAGTATATGTATCTTAAAATTGTACTCAAGTACAGTACTTGAATAAATGTACTTTCCACCACTGGATATGTATCACAGAATATTTCCATAATAAACATGAGGAGTTTCAGGAATGAAGCATTTTGGTTGTGACACTCAAATTTCTCTCATACAATCAAACACATACAAACACGTGAGCTTAAACCCACTCACACACCTCTGACTCAGGACACTTTCACGGCCTACACTATTCCTCCAACACACACAAGCAACGTCTTTCCTCCACCTCTATCTCCTTCTGTATCTGTCACTCACCGGCCTTCCCCTCCTCCTTCTCGGACCTCATGTCCTCCTCGGCACAGGCTCCACTCGGCTCCACTGTCAACTGTGGTGTGAGCTCTCATAGCAGGTGAAAAAAAAAAGAAAACACACACACACACGTATACATACAGACCAGTGCACACACCATTCAAACCAACGCACACAATGCACCACTACAGCCTGCCGCTCCCAGTCCTGCTTAGTGAGGCTCCACCCAGACAGGTTACTAGGAAGTCGTCCCCTGAGAGCCACTCAGCTACATTTCCTGCTCCTTTTCTTTCTTGGTTTCTCTCTTTCTTCTGTTATGTGCCTCTCTTTCTATCCTACTTTCTGTGTACCTGTTTAGTGACACGCCCTGAGGCAGCTAGGACAACTTTCACCCCACGCCCACTCCTGCTTTTCATTTTTTCCCTCCTGGTGTACAGCCTAGGAGGGGGAGGGGAGGGGAACACAAACTGCACCTCAGGCTTCAGGTAATGAAGCAGGTGAGTCAGTAGAGCTCTCACTCCACCTGATGGCCGACGGCTATAGCAGAGGACAGCGTGTGCAATTATGCACACCGACTGAACAGAGAACAATACACCCCTTTGTATAAAAGCTATGCACTCCCTCTGAGCCCACAATGCCTTTGTAGCCTACATGAGTTTACATTACTCACTTCCTGAATGTAAATGTGTGTTTTGGCCAGAGGAGGCAGGAATGTAAACTCTGAATAAAAATGCTGCTAGTGTAAACTTCAATATAAACGTCTCGAAAAATGGATCACGGCAGCGGTAAAGTGAAACGAAGTTCATGCTTGTAGCCAAACTGCCTTAGCTCCACACACTGAGACTGGCTTATTAATAAGAGCTCTCCCATGTTATCTTTGACCCGGCAGGGATTTTTGCATTGACTTCTCTTCTGCCTGGTGCTGAGTAAGGACAGTCTGTGTCATGTTAAGATGGGAACTCGGATGTGCGCGGACACAGAGAGTAAATAAGGTTAAGACTGGTCCACTTTGCCTGGCAGTGCTCTTTAGGCCTGAAACCCTGAGGCAGGTACAGGTGTTACGAGGGGAAAAAGATAGGACAGCCTGCAACTGAATTAATTCAGCCTGCAGAGCCAAACTGGATATAAACTTATAATGGAAATTTTGGTTTATGTGCACTCGAGTAACGTAACTAGCATACTAAAGCGTAAGTAAGCATAATCCTGTCTGTGTGTGTGTGTGTATGTGTGCAAGAGAAAGACGAGTTAAAACCGCATTTTAAGACGTGACAGGCAGTTCAGAGCAAGCATGCCATTTGTCCTGCCTGTCAGAGGCTGACGCTCAGTGCTTTAGCTCCGTCTAAAGATCAGATGTGCTCTAACCAGATACTTGTCACATGAGGCAATGGATCTGTCAATCACTCCCTGACACCTCAAGGATTACTGCCAGGCTCGCTCCTCTCGGACTGATGAGCGCTGAGACAAAAGATTTAAATGATAACTCTCTATGGTGGATGCAATTAACACCTCATTAGAATGTCGAGCATGTTTTTCTAAACCAGCCTTTGCTGTATTATTACAGTTATAATATCTCATTGAGCCAAATAATTAGAATTTTGACCATATACTAGATTTAAATTATAACCTGTCTGAATCTATCAGCTTTTTATTTGAACAAGAACATTTTGACCAAATGAAGCACTTGATAATTCCAAGGTCATCATGTAGCCTGCCTCCCAGCTACACCGAATCTTATTCACAGTATTGCTTTTAGCCTCACAGTTACTCAGTCTGAAATTTTCCACTCCTCAGTGTCCTTATTCTTCGGCTTAAACTCCCTGTATCACTATGTCATTCATTTGCTTTGCTCACATTAAAGCCAGAAGAAATCCTAAAAACCTTCTTTTTCTAGCCTCAGTTCTCCTCCACTGTATCGCTCTCCCTTCTCTCAGTTGACCTGTCAGTCTGCATTATCAGTGCTGGGGAGTGTTGATAGAGAGCCGGGACGGAGCGGCATTAAAATATTAGCTAGCCTTGAGAGAGAAGAGGAGGTGAAAAAAAAGGAGGAGGAGGGAGAGTGAAAGCAGTGATGGGCAGAGAAGAAGGACAATGAGTGACTGAGGTCACCACTGTCCCTACCCATTGTTGATGGAAATGACACGAGGCTTGTCTAATAGCCACTGAGCTTGCTCTGCTAGCTTCAAGGGGCTGGACTGGGCAATTACAGCACAGGGTCTGAAGTTTGGTCAGTGTGAGAACAGTAGAGAATAATAGCAGCCATTACGCTGAGAAAAAGAAATGGACACACGGCTTACAGATTAAGCAACAATATACATACGATCGATAGACCACGATCAATATCTTTTGTGGTGCGTATTATTACAGGCTGGTCAGTTTGATTACCACAAACGAGAGATTGAGAGAGACTTTTATCCAGAGCTACTAAGGCCTCTCTATAAAGCATTATATTTCTCAAACTGATGACAGTGATTGGAGGAAATAAGTGGCCTGGCTGCGATGCAATAATTGCACATTACAATACAACCCTAGTGTGATAAACTTCAATAAAGCTCCACTCAGATTAAAGCAATTTGCAAAGTAAAACGCTTTTCTATGGTGAGAAGTCAATCAATGTCTCGCAGTCTTACACCAAGTATTGTGTGACAAAACATGTTATTTAACTGTGATGAATCAAACCCTGCAGTGAACTGTAAGGCCCTCGTGGCCAGGTACCAAGAGCTGTTATCTGATTGTTCTCACACTCTTAGCCCGCGCAGGCCTTTGCTCCAGTGTTAACCTCCCAGTCAAGCTGACAGTTCTGTCTTTTAACTGCCAGGATAAATCACTGTGCACACTTCCTGCTGTCACCAAGGCAACACCTTGTATTTTTTTTTTTTCGAGCAACACCGTACCTTTGCCTAGCGAGCAGTCTGGTGTGCCAAAGTCCATCAGGCTGGATATCTCTGTCGGGTAGCACATGTCTGTCACCACTGTCTTCTGTCTGTGATGCACTGATGGATCTGCAGGGCAGAGAAAGAAATTAACAAAAAATTTTAATCAGATAAATGTTTATTCTTTCAACAAAACTTTATTTATATTCAAACAGACAGGTTGCTCTATGCTGGGTTGAATTAAACTGGGTTTGTACAGTCGGGTAGCTGTAGCAGGCCAGTTAAATCAGGTGATTCATTCTGACACGATGTCAAATCAGCACACACAGCTTCCAGGCATGTTGCAAACACAGATCTCCTCCTCCAAATCACTGCAGCTGTGATGGGCATTTCAAAGCACACACTATATTAATGATGATGCACGCTTGGCTAACTTTTCCCTCCTTTCAGCCTTATTTTAGATCAGTTGTTTTTTTTCATTTTTCACACATTTTCATTCCTTCTGTCCTCAAATAAAATCCACCCCTTTATGTGGTTCTATTATGCTCCATTGACCCATTTTTGTGCTCTGTACATTTAGCTAATGACTCTGATCAAGAACTTCTGTGAGCTCCAGTGACTGCAGCTCATCTACTCAACATTTTTCTCCTCTCTCTTTGTAATTTCTTTGCAGAGTTCAAGAAGAAAAGGGAATGGGGGAGCATATATCTTTTTTTTAAAAATGATCTAGGCGCCTCTGTCCACTGCTTCCCCTCCACCCTTTTCTGATTATTGGAGGCAGCAATATCCTCGCTATACCAGAAAGTGTTTTTGTAGGGCAGCACAGAATTACAACAGAAATGATTTTCCTCTTGAAGAGGGCTTCAGATCCCACTATTGATCTGAAATCTTCAAACTGAAAGTACTCTACTGATATTATACATCCCTCTGAGGCTATAAATGTTGGATTTCATGCCAGATAAAGGCGTGACAGCACCTCAAATGTACAAATGCAGTATTTAAAGCAAACATAATTTCTACTTTAACCATGAACCTTGTCCGCAAGTACACCAGTTGGCATCTACCCTCAGGTGCCTTCTGAGCGATACTATCTGCACAGCCACTCTTCCTCAACAATGATCTCAGATTGCCTCCTAATCTGCATATTTTGACAGTTTCAATTTCATGACTGTATGGTATTTATCTAGATCACTGACCCTCCCCACCCTTCTCCCCTCCTCCGTCCTTCCAACCTGTCGATAACTGTTTAGGTGCTGTTAAGCTGACCTTTTCATCAGTCTTTAATATGGAGATTGGACAGCGGGCAGGCTCATGCAGAGCTGCTCTAAGGCTTCTTTACTTAGCACCAACAATAATGAGAGAGAGAGAGAGAGAGAGAGAGAGAGAGAGAGAGAGAGAGAGAGAGAGAGAGAGAGAGAGAGAGAGAGAGAGAGAGAGAGACAGAGAGGATGAGGCCGCTGGCAGTGGGACAAATTCACAGACAATCTATTCCAGCACTTAGTTGAAGGCGTCTGCGCTTTGTACACTTAAAAATAAAGATGTCAATGCAAAACTTTACGGCCTTAAACAGGGAGCCATTACTTAAAAATGTAATCGCTCTTAAATGAGTGATGTATTTGCATGTGTGTGCCCTTACTGTGTGTGTGCTTCATATAATGAACATGCTTCACCTTCATAATTCAACACACTTCAGTCATCTGAACTTTTCACTGATTTAAATGGCCTCCCAGTCCCATGGGGTTTTTGATTATCCCGGGTCCATTGTATTTCAAGGGGAAAACACCCTTGTGTCTGTGTCAGTGCAGTAAAGCATGTGAATGTGCTCTAGAGAGGTATATCCTAAGGAGTGGGCAGTATATCTGCCACCTCATTCCTGCCTGCACTGCTGCTGTGACAGGTGAAGGGTTATGGAAGTGATGAGGCCAAGCTGTGCAGGTCTGTCTGTCTGTAACCAAACTGACCAAACCAGACACAACAGGAGCACAAACAATAGACCAATGACTCAACCAATTCCTAAACAATATACAGGATTGCAAACGCCTTTTACAGTTATTTCATATCTCATCTGCATCTCTTTATTAAGGTTGTATAGTATGCAAATATTAAATGGTAATTACTATTAAAGTCAACGGACAAAATGACAAGTAAAATCTTTTTCTACTCAAAAGTCATGTCAATGTGATAAATGTTTAGCTTTACATCTTTTTCACGTTTCACATTTTAGAAGGAAAGAAAAAAATGTTCTTTGCTAATGTATCCTGAAACGCGCTTGTAGCCCAGAAGCGTCTGAAGGGGCGAGCTGTTAGGTGTGTTTGACTGACAGTTGAGCTGGTGGTCTGATACTGTGAGCTGCTCTCTCAGGATGAGATACCAGTGAAATAAATGGGCTTTAAATTGATGTGTCCCATTCTGTCAGATGGGAATATCTATCAAAACAGACAACCTTAAAAATAAGGTACGTCACTTTGTATTTCTATATTTACATTGTCTTATTTGATGGATAACTCCAACAACAACAAAAATACCTACTTTAATAGAGCTTTTTCAGAGCAGATATTTTGACATTCCAAAGCAGGTAAAGCACAGGGACACTTACTGGGAGACTAAATAAAAAACTGGGCCACCATTAATGTAATTAATTTCCACTGCTTGTCTTGCTACACATGTGTTTTCATTGGTTTGACTAATAAGACTATCTGCTTAAGGTAAAGTGATTCACTCTGTTCAACTTTGGTGAAATTTGTGAATTTATGCAAAAAGATGGCTGACCAAAAGCAAGCCATCTTGACAATGTTGACCTTTAAGAGGGAAGAAATCCCAAAATTCACCATATTCTCACAGTGTCACGTCACGGTCAGGGTGGGAAGCTCAAATGTTGTGCTATTGTGTTCCAGGTTGCAAGCCATATAAATGTTGGGAATCTGACAAATCAATATCATTTTACAGATTACAAGTTGATCAGCAACTGAAAAGACAATGGATAGTGTAAATCTGGATGGATATTAGGCCGTATTTCAAGGTAAAGCCACATATTTGATAATTAGCTACCGTTAAACAACAGCGTTAGCATCTACCTACTTCCTTACTAACATTATATTGCTGTTTGATAGTGTTACATGATACGATATGAAAGGCTAATAGAAATAAAATTAATTCTGAAATATCAACGCACATTTTTTTCAGCCTGGAATTAAACTCAGTGGATGTAAACAAGCTTGTAATTTAACATCAACAGTCTTGTTTTCTCTTCACCCGACCTCAGAAATGTCAGTGACATTACAGGACATCACAGCGATTACATCCAACACAAAAGTCATTATGAGCACTTTCGCAGTGAGCACCTGCTGGGTCGGCTAGAAAGTTAAAGGTTATTTTACTTTCACCACTAGCCGTAGTCACCACGTCACCATGCTTTCTCACCTATTTTATGAGCATGAGTGAGTGTCGCTTAATAAGACTTCTAATAAGGCAAAAATAAGTGAAAGCACCTGTGTGGGTCCTCTAGGTCTTGGTCTGTTTGTCCATTTTGATCTGTATTTCCAACAAACTATTTGGGCTGAAGTTATTTGAGCTGGTAGTCCAAATTAATTGCTGATGTTTTTCTCAACCTGACAGAATAAACCACCTCATGTGAGTGATTTATGTGATTTTTGAGCACATTTATTCCACGGGTAGTGAATCCTCCTGAATGAGATGGGGTAATGAGATGCACTGTTAACAGACTTGTTCTTGGTAACTGTAGCTTGTGAGCTTGGCTATCAGTCAGTGTCACAGTCATGGTGATGAAAGGACAGTGACAGTGCTAAGTAATGCAAAAAAAGATGCATGATTAAAACAAACATTTTTTACTGGCTATATGCAAATGAGGTCTCTATCTACAGAGATGAATCCCAATGATACAGAGATATTAGATGCACAGACGGCGGGGACCTTAGTAAGATGAGAATTATAAAATTAAATGTCTTTCGATTTTTATTATTTTCCACCAATGAGAAAACAAGATATATCCTTTAGAGAATATCTATATCAATGTAGCAAAATATAAGCATTTTTAGTTTTAGTTGGACTGAATAGTGTTATTATAAATCTTTGTGAGCAGCTTCCTTGCAAACACCAGAGAGAGACATAGCCCTGACAGCATCACAAGGGAAAACACCAACTAGTTTATTAATGAGAATATGCTGAGAGTGTGTGACTGCAGAAACACCCCCAGGTGTGGCAGGAAGTCAGAGAAGCTATTCAAACATCTGACACAGATTCTCTTCCGAACTAAAACTGAGCTGTGGGATGCAGACGACATGTATGGGACATGATGGAAAGGAGAGACAAACACTCAGTGGGAGTTGGAGTGGGTATTCAAGCAGAAATAGGAGGCAACTATCATTGGTGTGCAGACAACTCATCATTGCCCAGCCCCAGCCAACCTTTAATTACACTGGCATTCAGTCCTTCACACAAGCAGCAGACACATTCATTCCTGTATCAGTCATCGCACCGGAAAGGAACATCACTATGCTACTGTGGAGTCACAACACCCTGAAACAGAGCGCTGCTGAGAGCAACAACATGGCTCTATGTGTTCTATCATTCTGAGAGGCTGAGACAAATCTGCAAAGGTACCATGAACTAATAATTTACTATGGCTGGAAACATGCTTGAATTACCAGGCCATGTATTGTATGAAAAGAGCAGGTTAGCTTTTAAAAGGTCTTTGCTAGGGGAGGAGAGAAATAGTGTTGATTGGCGGTTGTGGTGCATATTAAAATACAGCAATTCAAAGGCTCAGCAATGAATACTGAGGGGAATTTTTTTGTTATTTGATGTATTCATCAGCAGGGCACAAAATTAGCACCAGCCAGCGGCCAAAAGTAATGAAATTGAATTGAAAATTGAAGAAATTTCCCCCTGGGATTATTAAAGTATTTCTGATTCTGATTCTGATTCTGAAATGCTGGTAAAATATGAAAGTGGTTGGTAGATTTGCTTCACTCACCAGACAAAAAAGAAATAATGGAGATCTAATGAATGAATGGTGAAATTTTAACATTATAGTCATTTGGCCTGTGGACAAAAAAGTTAATTCTGCACCCGTCAGAAAGATAGACAGATCAAAAAGAAAGTCCTAGAAA